TTTTGCTAGCCAGCAGTGGCTTCAGTGCACAGAAGAAAAATTAATTATTTGAACAATGTGATTGTTATTAAAAATTGTATTTAAAAATATTCACATGAAGACCAAATGCACCACTGATTATTGCCTGATTAGTTACTTGCAGTAGACTGTTATGGAAGTGTGGGTCAGTAGGGCAAATGGTTCATTTATGGTTCACTTCATCCTAGACATCGATATACAATTCATCTTCTGTGAGATTTTTGTAACTCCCATTTCTCCCTGCCAAAAGAGCATGCCTCTCGATGGTGATGAATGGATTTGTATCTTGATCTTGCATCGTTTGTACAGCATATTTTACATGAGCATAATACATTTAGACTGGTGCTTGAAAAAACCCAGATATAAAGTGTGGTCCAAGGCATCAGTGTTCTCCAGTACCTGTGGCCTTTAACCGGGCTAAATTTCTGATTTGCACTGTCCTTTTACATTTATTGCTGCTGCTTACAGTGTTAAACTCTTCATGAAACAAAACAAAAAGTCTTCCCCGTCCTGTCCTGTCCTTCTGGCGATGAAGCACTGGCAGCTTGTAGCTATTTTCCCGAGCATGCAGAGCCGTTCTGACGGGCAGATATTTTGCTGTATGTACATTATGCTGTGATCTTTCGAAGCTCCTGGCGGTGCTGAGCCGATGCTGTTTTTTCCCTGGAGTTCAGAGCCACCTCGCGGTGTGGATGCCCGCGTTGCTCCAGCTCCAGCGCTGGGAAGCTCCTCCTCGGGGGATGGCAGCAGGGAAAGCTGCAAGCGCCTCATAGCTTGTGAGAGGTGCTGCTTAAACGTGCCTTTGAATCCGTTTTTATGTGATTTTTTGGGTGGCACGAAGAATCGTGCCTGGATATTTGGGTTTGTCTTTTCATGAGCAAAACGGTTCATTAAACAGAAAAAAAGAATCACACGAATGAGCAATTATGTTGATCATCTTGTCTGTGCTGTGCCATGAAAGGTAGGGAAATACACAGCTTACTCATTTCAAAGCTCTGTTGTTCACCCATAGAGCTGCTGGCAATTACTAAGAGGCTCACATGGATACTCTTTAACTCTTTGAGACTTCAAAGCTGGGTGGCCTCATCCAAACTGTCTATTGGCCCCAACTTCCAAACTATGCTAAGGAAATATTCTGCAGAGGTTCAACTAACCCAGGTCAAACCTATAGCAGGGGCTCTTCATGTAGCTGACCGGCACAGACACAGTTCCAGCAGCCAGGTACGGCCTGAGCCATCACTGCTTAATTTTCTAGTGAAGTCTTGCATCTGTACTCTTCCACACAGTTACGCTGAAGGTAAAGGGCCTGATGTCTCTTCTCTCACCTTGCAAGGAAGACTGCAGCAAAGTCTATGTAATTCCTTGACCTTGGGTTTCAAATGCTTTGTATTTTTTTGCACAGGCTTTATATCAGGAGATGCAGCCCTGTAACACTTAGGCTGAGGTCGCACACAATTCACTGTCCTATGGTACTCTCCAGCAATGGACTCTACAGGGAACATCTAAGTCACTGTGGCTGTCACACATTTGTACTTAAATGTGTAATACCTGGGACCTGATCATGGCCTGGGTTTCATATTTAGTGTCAATTTGCTACACACCACCTTTCTCCTGCAGTGGATTTAGCCCGTAAGTATCAGTGCACTATGTGGTACCTGCCCTGAGCTGCCTAAGTGGAAGTGAAGAGGCCTTTAATTTGTATTATCTTTTCAGTTATATGTATTTGCCTCTCTGCTCTGGAGCATCCTTCCTTCAGCCCACGAAAGCATCCTTTTCTCTTCTTGCTTGGATCAGTGCATCAGGGAAAATGGGAATCTGATGGGCATGGCAGTGCTGCAAGCGCAACAGAAAGAGGAACTGCCACGGTACTGTAATGAGCACAGTGCATAATAATCTGTGGAGCTGCTTAGGCTTCCTTCTTGGGATGGTGACTGAGAGCAGAGGGGGGAAACCTGGAAAGAAAATAATGAATAAGACTCTGGAACAAGGTGCCTTTTTCCTTTCCCTAGGGAAATCTGTACAGGGCAGATTCTGTATTCAAGCATGGTTGTGGTCTGGAAGGCACCAGGGAATGTAGACAGCTCACATGTTTTAGGGCTGAATTTGAACTTTATGTTGCAATTTGTATATTTTCTGATCAAATTTGCATGATATGCTAAACTATACTTCTTTAAGCAAGTTGAAACCTCACTTCCAGTAATCCCTAAATGTGCACTCTCTAAGCAGAGCATTAGTTCTGCTGCTCTACATACGTCTATATGATTGATGGAGAAAGTATGAAGTAGGAGAAAGAAGACACCACTTCTTTGCTTTCATTGCTTGTGCTAGTGGTTTTCAGATTAAAACCCAGCTTTTTGGTTTTTATTTGATTTCATCCAATTGGCATTTTTTGTTGCTGAGAAGACAATTCCAGTCAATTACTGGAGATTGTTTCCAGATTATATATCTCCCCCCCTGCTCTTTTTGCTAAACAGATTTTTCTAAAGGGCATGTCTGCAACTCAGATAATTTGTGTTCAAGCATAAATCTGTACCAAAAGCATGAAAGCTCAGTGAGGAAGGTAATCTTTCTCATTTTTGCCAATAAGTAGGCAAGTAAGTACAGTGCCTGCTGTGGCATAGCGTGCTGAGGGAGCCATATATGCCAGTAGTGGCACACTGAGTCCTGCACACTGATGGTACTGTAACGCTAGCAACAAGCATCCTGCAGTCCTCATGCAGGAAAAGCTTCTCAGTGAAGGAAGGAAAGCAAGAGCTACCTAAATGTGAGCGATTTACAGGCTAGAGTGAAAAAGCTCTGAGCAAGTGTGGGAGGACAGGCTCTCTAAGCTGCTCAGAGTTTCTGGCATATGTAGGAGCCAGACCACTTGTTGTGTGTCACAGCAGGTCCATTGCTTTCCAGTGACCCTGAGGAAAACCAGAATTTAACTCTGGGATCCCCTTGTGATCAGTGCTCTCAGCAGAGAAGCTGAGATCTACATAGATCTACATAGAAACCAGAATGCCAAGGCAAAAAAAGAGAAGGTGAAAAAGCCCTGTGTATTTTCATACAGAGGTTTAAGGTAAGTACACTGCATGTGAAAGGACATCATGCCAAAACAGAAATGCCTTCATCATCCTAAAGAGCTGTATATGGGACCCACTGGCATTGCTCTTACAAGGAGTAAGTAGGGCAAAGCAGAAGCTGATGACTATGGCAAGACTGACAGATTCGTGCACGAACAGGACTCGGGAAATAGGATGTGATTGAGTGAGATCAGACCACCACAGAAAACTGAAGTGGCCTCAGATCTTCATCTGATTTCGCATTAAACAAAAACAAGTTCCTTCTCCTAAATCTAAATTTTTTAGATCTAAAACCCCTCATCTCAGTTGAAGAACTGTTCTGTAGCTGTATGAAATAAATGATCCAACCACATAACTACACTAATCAGCAGTTACGTATCTGTGTCACCAATAATGCTTTTGGAAACAGCTCTCTCTGCAGATAGACCAAATTAATTTTCCTCCAGTTCCCTTTGTACTCAGGGTTTAGTGGTTACAGACACCCCACAGTCTTTGATTACCAGAAAAAACTGAGACAGAGAGAGGAGAAATTACTTATCCAATGCCAGCAAGATAGCAGGGAATTCAGTCTTCATCTCTGCAGTTCTTTCTCTTTAGACTCTCCAACTGGTAGACTTCATCTCACTACTTTGAGGATGATCAAACACTGGAAAAGGCTGCCCAGAGAGGCTGCGAAGTTTCCATCCTTGGGGATATTCAAAACCACACAGCCCTGAGCAGCCTGCTGTAGCTGATCCTGCTCTGAGCAGGGCAGGGTGGACCAGGTGATCCCTTCCCACCTCATCCATTCCTTGGTTCTGCAATTCATTTCTCTGTGGTGCCTCAGCAGATCTGGAAAGGGGTGTCTTGAGGGCCCGTCTGGCAGATCTACTGCTGTTTTACACTCCAGTTCTGTCAGCCCCGCACACGGAAGCAGTTTGTCATACTCAATACAGAAATGCTTGCTCAGGATGAGTCTTTTGCAATAGGAATGAGGAAATTTCTAAAGTAAACATGCTGTGATTTGTTAATGAATTGTGTAACTTCCACTTTATTGCCAGTAAAGAAGATTTCTTTAAAAAACAATGATGTCATCAGGTTCTCTTTGTAGATTGGTTGGCTATATTAAGAAACATCACCCTCTTCCTTTAAATACAGTGGTCATCATGGCAGGCTTTGAAGAGTGGTGGTGCATTCTCTCTGCAGGGGAAGCAGTGACCTAAGGAAGCTGAGGTGGCACCAGTATTAGAAGAAGCCAATGTAATACTGAACTTCAAGAAAGAGAAGAAAGTTGGTGCTGGAAATTACTATCCTGTAAGTCTAACAAACTTCTACCTCATTTAAATTAACCATAGATATATGAAAATTGAGAACACTTTCTTAACTCCTATATGACAACAGATCTATGAGCAAAAGCAGTGTGGAGTTACACAGGATAGCTGTCGCCATTGGTAAAACTGCAGTAGCAGACCATGGCAGGAAAAATTGACTCAATAAAACCGATTTGTGTAGTTGTTCAGTACAGTGTTTTATACTCGGTCTCCCTCACAAAATTAAGTCATTCAATCTAGAAAATGAAATCTGTTATGGACTGAACACTGACCATAAACAACATCTGAGATGATAAAACAGAAATACAGGGCACTACAGGAGCCTTGGTTACATCCAGACTTGGTTTATACCTTCAGCTTTTCATCTGTAATAGTAGTCAAGAGCAAGATACTCACAATTTCAGAAGATTCTGATACCAGAGAAATTAAAAGGGGGGAAAATAGGGAACAAAGGTAAGACAGGAGTGTAGAGAGAAAAAAGGAGATAAGGGGAAGAATTGCCAACTAATGAGATTTCTCTCCTCTTCTCCTACCCTCCACAAAAGCTAAGATAAGGAAGCCCAGCATGATAATAATCCATCTTGTACTTCATCTTGGTTTTCAAGGGATGGCTGCTCTCAGGAGGAAGCTGACTGCAGTCGGAGATGACCACTGTGGTAAGACCTGCCTCCTCTTTGCTCTGCGTCACGAACAGCTTCCCAAGTCCTATGAGACAACTCTGTTTGATGCTTACACCGCTGACACAGAGGTGGATGGAAAAGAGATGAAACTCATCCTCTTTGATGTGGCGGGGAAAAAAGGAAGTCAGTTACCAAAATCTCTGCTCAGTGTTCTACAAGGACACTGATGTTGTTTTAATGTGCTTCTCTGTGGACAGGCCTGACTCACAGCAAAACATCCTTGAATTTTGGGTTCCAGAAATCAAACTGTTCTGCCCCACAGTACCTATTATCCTGGTGGCTACTAAGATAGAACTAAGGGGTGATGAAGGTATTAAAAAGAAATTAGCTACTGCAGGAAAGAAGCCAATTAACACTACAGAAGGAGAAGCTTTAGCTGCCAGCACTGGGGCATGTGCTTACCTGGAGTGTTCTGCAAAGACAAAAGAAGGTGTAGATGCAGCCCTGGAGATGATTAGCCAATGTGCATTAAATGAGAAAAGGAGGAGAAAGAGGCACTACAGGCCCTGCCGAATTTTGTAAAATAAGTGAACATTATTTTGTTGTTGGATTTCATTATGTGGAAAGGTAAGTAGATGTCTTTGTTGCTATTGTGTGGGTGCTATAAGGGCTGCTTTTATGTTATAGGAGGAAAAAAGTCCCTTTTGTCTGCAAAGTGTCACACTTGAAAAGTTATATTGGTTCCTTCTCCACCTCCAAAACAGGCTGAAGAGCACAACTCCAGATTTGAGTTGAGTACTGGTCTTGAGAAATGGAAATGACCAAGCTACATAGAGCTCTCCACAGAGGTTTTGTGGTCAAGGGAGATACACACAAACTAGAGTCTGATCCTGGTTTGCAAGGCTTAGCGGCAAGCAGCTGTGCTGACAAGGTTTCTTTCCATGCACTTCCTTGAAGGATGTCCTTAGGGAAGGGAGTCACCACACACACATATGTATCCAACAGTCTGCTGTGCCAATGGCAGTGGGTTTCTGACTGGCAGAACAGGTCTGACTTTCTCTAGGATTCATTCGTAGAGCTGGCCTGGGCTTGGTTCCATAAATGCATCAGGAGTGCAGTGTATAGCATAGGGTGCAATGAAGGCAGTGCTATCTCCACCTCTTCTTCAGGCACAGGTAAATAAACTGGGGTAAAACAGCCTAGCTCTGGCGTAGGATAATCCAGTTCTCAATAGAACTCCTACCTTAAATTGAAAGAAGTAAAAAGACAGGACTTCAGTTGCTAAACCTCTTTATCTTTATGGCCTGATTGTATCTTAAATCTTTCTGCCTTTCCTCAGCACTTGCAGGCAAAAGACATGAAGTAAAGGGAATGCCAACGACCACGCTCTCAGCTTTACAAGTCAGTGATGATCTGGAAAGAGACTGAGACATGCTGTCAACCTAAGCAGAAAATCTCAGAGAGGTGCAGAGATGGACCAAAATGGAAAGACTTTGGGTGCATCTCTATGCTCCTCTCTTCCCTGAAACACTGACTGCCAGCAGCCCAGGGAACTGAGTTATGGACTGACATTGCGGGCAAATAATGCGACTGCAGGATTTGAAGGCCCATGCTGTGACACAGTAAGTGGACAGAAAAGCACTTTAAGGTAAATTTCTGGTCCTGACGTAGAGGTACAGGACTAATTGAGTGTAACTGCCGTGAACCAGGACAACAGTGAATTCTATCACTTTCTTTTGTCGGCTTCCTCAATGGTGGTTTCATCATTCTGGCAACTTCCTCACAGTTTCCCAGGGGGAAACAAAACAAGAGTAAACACAAATTTCTGAACTGATTATGCCACCTGGAGCTGTACACTTAGCAAACTAGCTTTTCCAGGTGAGACACCTAAAAAACCACACAATTAAGATGTTTTTTTCTTACCCATTCTTCCCACCAGTATTTGTCTATGGATGGAAGCACGGGTAGAAATACGGGAGTTCATTCTTGGATGAGTTGCTGCTTTTCTTCTGCATCACTTTTCAGTACCAGTTTTGAAGTCCACAACCATACTGTAGCACACTAACAAATGCTTCAAGGATGAGACTTTACATTTCCAAAAGTACCTTTCTCCCAAGAATCTCTGAGCAGTTTTGAACATGAATTACCAACCCACTTCTTGGTGATAAGTAGGTGTTATTTCCATTTTCAAAACTGAGAAACTTAAACTGCTACCTAAAGTAACTGTGAACCATCTACTTCTTGGAGCTTTCATTTTCTCAACTTGTTTTCCATTCCTTTTCCCTGCAGGGCCATTCTTAACCTCAATTTCCTCTCCTCTCTATAATAATCCCCTCAATGCAACCTGATATAGTACCCAAACTTTAAAACTGTTCTCCCCATGCAACTTAGATGTGAGCGTGTGCTGTGCATAAGTGCTCTCCTGATTCAGGTAATAACATACATTAGTGCATTTCAAAGAGCTGCATTTATGTAGATAGGTTTAAATTGTTATTTCTATTTTATATGCATGTGTGTGGGTGGGTAGGATTAGACTGCAGATAGGGTAAAGAACACAGGTGTCCCAGGTGCCTCTGATGTGGGGTGTTGAACTGGGGAGAGGGGGTTTTGCAAAGGTGCTGAGCACTTACTGCTCCCACTGCTTAGAAAGTTCAGACACCTTTGGTGGATCTGGGCTTACACTGCCTGTTGATAGCAGACACTGGTCAGCGTATTGAGTGGTGTCTGTTTTCAATCTAAATGAACAAGTATTTTCCTCCAGAAGGTTGCTTTGTTCAAGATAAGGGTAACTGGTTTCACTCCCAGTATTCACTGTACGTATCTCTGAATTAAACTGATGTTACACTGATCTTAGTTTCTATTTCTTAACATTAACCTTTTTATTGTTTTTATGCAAAATAAAAACTTGGCAATCTGTTTCCACCATATACTCCTCTGCAACTGGAAAAGAGAAAACTGTGGGAGGTTTTTCATCTTCCTTTTTCTAAAGCTGTATAAATTCTCTTTTTGCCACTTTTGTCAAAAAATCCAAATGCTTTTCCTCTTTATCTGTCTCAGAGCACTTTTGCAAGAGCAGGTTACTTTGTGGCTGTTCAAGAAATCCATTGGATGGTAGTCCATACTTTAGGGCATCCAGCTCCCATGAGAAACCCACAGACTGGATAGTTCTTTTTTTTGTTCTTTAACATTGGCCTGCGATTCAGAAAGAAGGGGACATAGCCCATTGGTCAGGATATTAGCCCAAGACATATGTATCTGGGGTTGCTTATCTACTCCACCACAAGTTCAGGTCTATATGACCATACAGAAGAGATAATACACATCAGCCCTGCAGAGCAGCTGTAAGTAGCAGCCCTCCCATAGCAGCACGGAGCTCGATGGGTGTCATCCTTCCCATTTACGATGGTGCCTTTAGGAGCCTCTGCATGCACCCTCCAGCTGATGCTGGTCTCCCTACCCCCAGGCCTGCTGGGGTGGTGGTTGTACCCATGCATGTGAAGAGCTCACATATCAGTCATGGGAGAGCTAGAAAGTCTGTCTGAGACTGACACTGGGAAAGTGATACATGCCCGGATCTTAAACCTGGAATGAAAATCAATAGTGATGACTCCATATAGAAGCAAACTGCCAGCAGTCGATATCCAGGCTAGACTTAAGCCATAAGTGCTGTCCTCTAATGCGAGCCGTTCTGCCAGGGTTGGAGGGGAGGGGAGCAGAGAAGGAGAAGGAGAGAGAGAGGGAGAGGAAAGGAAAACCACTAACTGTTTTATTAACTGTATTTTTTACTTTTGTGAATTTAAATATTAAATATGACTGTTAATTAAGGAAAACAGAAAGCAAAGAAGTGCTGTGGAAAAAAAGACGGAAATTAACTGAGTATTCATGTATCATTCAACAGGGCCATTTCTAAGATGAAATACGCTGTTTACTCCTCACTACAACAGTTTAAGACAGATGTCCAATTGTAACAGCAGAGGAATTTATACTATATTAGGTGAATATGACGATATGCATTGCAATTAAATAAGACTTTCTTTGTGATTTCAATGAAGCAAATATGCAATAAATGATATCGATATTTTTCAGTAGAAATAATGAGAAAGAAAATCAATACATAACAGTAAGTCAATATGTGAGAGCAGCTTTCCATTTTCAGTGCAAAGATAGTTTATGTATTTCATGTAATGGTGTTGTAGTAGCCTGCATGCCTCAGAATGTCATCAAGACAAGGTCTGTAGACAATCTGACTTGGTTGGGGAAAAAACAGACAAGCTCCTGGGCACACATGTCTTCAGACACCTCTTCCAGGTCTTGTCTGATAAAGGACCTGACTTCGGTCCATGAAGCTGTATGTGTTGTGATAAGCCACGACAGGGATGACAGTCCAGAGTGTGCTTTGTACAGAAATATATGTAGAACCTGTAAGCTTCAGTAACATCTACAGTGGTGTATCAGTAGTGCTTTACTGAAAACATACCCACACATTACATGACTTTGGAAAGAAGTTTGAAATAAAAAAGCCCTATATGTTGTTTCCTTTTCAATGCCTGTTTTGGGGGTGGAGTGGAGAGAAGGTAATATGTCTTGATTTGCAACACCATTCTCCATTTTCTATTAGTTTCCTGTGTAAACATGTCTTCTTAGCGGACGATCTATCAGTCTAACTACTAATTTGTCTGTTTACTCAAAATTACCATCAGACAGGAAGCATGCTATATTTTATGAAAATAGATTATCTCAGGCTTTTGTCTCAGTTTTCTTCATAATATCTTGCCACTTAATCAAATTCATTTTCTGAAATGTACTGCATCTGTTTTAAATAATTCATCAGCTTAGAGTGTATCTCTGCAATCACTTAGAATGTGACAAACTGATACAAGAGCCCGTAATTTGTTATTATGTTTTGATGGGAAAAAGGGGCGAGATCATGGTATTCCTCCACAGCAACTCAGAGTAGCATACGAAAAGGCAGAAAGACTGCAACTTTATTTGCCAAAACTAAATTTTATGTGTCCCTAAGGCCTTGAAAGCCCCTTTTTGCTCAGCTTCATCTCTGCTAGTGGACACGTCCATCATTTAAACTACCTCCACACTGCTGATGTGCTCACATTTCAATCTGCTCAGTTCCCGAACACATGCTTCATGCCAGCTACCTCCTGTTTCAGGGCGAGACAGCTTTTAGGGGGCACTTGTCTCAGCACATCCCTTGGGCTGTGCCTGTTGAGGACTCAGACCAGCAGAGGTACATCCGATTCGTGAATCACCAGTGACTGGGTTCTGCGCAGTTCGATGCTGCTGGGAGCAGCTTTGTCAGCTCAGGTGTGCCTGAACCAAGCCATGTCACAAGGTGGATGTGCCCAGGTGCTGGAAGCAGGGCATTTAGCTGCCTGTCATCATCCGACTTTGGTTGAGAGGGAGTTTGCAAGCTTGAAGTCATTAAAAAGAGCCATCTTCTCCCTCTCAATCCTTTTGCTCAGGCAGTAGGAGAGCTTTTGCAGAGGCTGTCCTTGGCTCAAACCCAACTGCAAGCCCAGGTGAACAGGTTTTCTAATCCAGTGGCCCGGTAGAGGCAAGGCTGCTGC